CTTTTGTCAGATAAGAAAAAGTGTATTTTAATTCTGGCTGTTTTTGATGACATGAGAAATCATTGGTAGTACTGAAAAAGCAGGAAAGTTATTTTTGTCATATAAATAAATTTAAAATGAAAAAATTAAATTTCTCTACTAATTAGACTGATATTTTCAAATTTTTTACTAAAATAACTCAAACATGTTTATTTTGTCAAAACGATTATTTCATTTTTAAAAGCTATTCACCGACCATTAACTTAAGCTAAAATGCTATATTTTGATTATGGATTGTAATCCTAATATGAGCAAAAAATAACTACCCAGATATTATGAGTAAAATCTATTTCTGACTTGCAGAGCTTGTAGTATATTATCCAACAAGAACACACTTTTTGAAAAGACCTAGTGTAATATATGGATGTAAATCTGTTTTTCCTGTCTCCTGAGGGCCTTCTTGTCCTGAATCCGGAACCTAGATTTCTAAATTTCTTGCCTTGAAAAACATTATTCAGCTTTATGCAAGAGTATTTATTCAAGAATATTCTTTATTCAAGAATATTCCTGCCGATTCTCTTAAACAGCATTTTGGTTTTTACCTTTTCCTAGTAAAACCTTTGCCATTTGTTTCACTTAGATTAACATCCTGAACAATAGCGTTTTATTCATGTGGAAGGGGGAGTGAGAGACAGCAGTTTGGACCCAGCCGGCATTTTGTGCCAGACCCTTCCTGAGAAGTAGGGATGCACTTTGCACGGACCTCAGTGCCCGGTCCAGGCATTAGTGACTTTAATCTGGTCTCAGTAAGATCCTTTGTTGATTAATAATGAACAAGCTGTGTTTCAGTGTGTGACCGTGTCATGACTTAACTTGCCCGAGTGCCCTGAAAACGGGAATGGAGGGCACTTCTGTCCCACCCACTGCTGTGTGCCACCGTTCTGTCCTCACGGCTCTGGTGGCCCAACTCACGTGACCTTTACACCCTGTGAGGGTCCCGTATCCCCATCCTGTGCGTAGTTCGTTCACGTTTAAAACCAGAGGTTAGAAGAGTAGTTTAAAGTTCCTGGTACGGTTTAAGGCTGAGGACAAATCCCATTAGATGGTTTTATTTGTATTTTCCAAAGGATAGGTGACCACCCCTCTGTCCCCAGGGGAGAGGGGCTGGCTGAGCACAGCTGCCAGGCCCTGATTGCCCCCCCCCCCCCCCG